CGGCTGTGAAACATCGACGCCACGTTTCACGACGATCATCATCACCGAGCTTTTCCGGGGCACACACGGGCTTCCGTTACACGCGAGACGTCGAGCGCATCGCAATATTCGCGGGAACGAAAATTGCAACAACGCCGATAATCATCGGGCCGGTGTTTTTCGGTACGCGAAACGCTCGCGACACAAATTATTTACCGACGGCAGCGCGATATTTATCTTGAATGACTTCCGCAACGCTTCCGAAACAGCGTTTTCGCACGCGAACGTGTGTACCGATTAGAAGGGGTATCCGAATAAATTACTGGGCATCATCGTTCCTCGTTCAGCCGACTGAATTCGTCACGCACGTCATGCACGTCTTCATTCTATTATCAGCGAATTTTTTTTCTTTCTTTTTTTTTGCCGGAGGCGTATTCGTTGTTTCGTTGCGTAACGCGATGATGCGCCACCGTGTAATTACGCTCTTGTGTTAAGAGATCAGTTATCGTCGAAATAAACCGCACGCGGCTTAAATTCGACGAAAGGAAAAGAAAATCGTAGCCTGTGTACCTGATTTGTCCACGTAAACAACGAGCGATTAATTTATTCGTTGTTTGGAATTATTTATATTATATTCAAGATTTTGTACTGTCGCTGGGAGATTTTCTAAGATAACGATACTAGTTTTTCAAGTACTGTCGTAATTTTATATATATATATATATAATTATATAGTACTATTGTTGTTTAGGATATCACCAGATCGCATAAAATTCTCATGATACGACAATACTGTGTAATTTTCCGACTAATTTTGGACTTTATGTTTAATCAGTTATGGAAATTAAGTTGATAACGCATTTACTTATGTAAACGTAACCTAATGCGCAAGATAAACGCTATTATTGTATCCTACCGCGTACGTATTCTCTCTAAATTCCTCAATGTCGCATCACATTAATTTTTATCAAAGATATTTCGACTTCGTATCTTGCGCACACAGTAGATAGGCAGAAGTAATTGTTGCAATTCCAAGCAGAAGTAATTGTTGCAATTCTAAGCCCATTTGGGAACAAAATTACCAGATAATACGCTCGTTGTTATATTTTACTTGATTTCACGTAAACGTACGATGTATATAGAAAGGAAAAACTGAGTGACAGGCGTTGAATTTCTCTTCGGAAATTGCAAACTAATAATTGCTTTCTTCTCACGTCTGTCCATTTTCTTCACATCGTGTCCGTGAAAGATTTCTATCGTTTCATACATCGTTCACACGTTTGCTCGTTACAAGAAATTCATTTCAGTTGGATAATTACTTTCTTTCAATACCGACGAGCCGTATAAAATGGCTAAAAAAATCGGCTCGTTTTGTCAAGGTGATGTTCAGATTCAACTCCGGTCCCTGGTAGAACCTGAGAGAAAACGTGATAACGTAAAATAACAAACGACGAGTCTCTGTTAATCCATGTTATCTTGAATTGCATATTTTCTACAGACGTGATTTTTCAAAAAAAAAAAAAAA